ATTTCCTCTCCTGCTAACAAAGCTCTTGCGTGTAGCAACCCCCATGTCGTCCTTTTAGATGCCACTTTCAAAGTCAATAAATGTTTTACGGTGGGAGATCGTTCATCAGAGCTTTGGCACTGTCTGCAGCCAAGAAACCAGTGCTGGGAAAAGGTCATAATGCTCTGGGAGAGACTCCAGCAGGGCCCAGGAGCTGCAGGACCTGAGGAAAGTGGTGTCCCTGTGTAGGAATCCCTGTGCCCTGGCTGGGGAAGAAGTGGGGCAGAGCTGGAGCCACGCAGCCCTTGAGCATGTGCTGGGAGGCGATTTGCTCCAAGCCCTGCGGGTGCACTGCAGAAATCATTAACAGAGCAATTAAGGAAACACCGGTGGCCCTGAGCGCGATGCTGTGTCGGGGCAGGGAGAAGAGTGTAGCTTCGACGTGGGGAGGGGATGCTGAGCACACCCTTCTCTCGCCAAGTTTCTTCCCAGCTTCCCGGGTGTGCAGGTGTCTGTGCCGCAGGGCAGAGCCTGGGCTCCTGGGTGACATCCCGCCCTCCTCTCCTGCCGCTCTGCTCGCTCCAGTGTTGGCCGTGTCGTTGTGTTGCTCTCCAGGCTTTACCTGCCGTCTGTGTCAATAAACTCATTTCCACGACGCTGTGGCCTGCGAGTGGCTCTGTGGGGCTGGGGAGAGGGGCTGCTCCCCCTGATGTGGGCTCTGCCCGTGGGAGCAGCAGAGCTGAAGGCTGGGTTGGGTGGGAAGGAGGCGGTTTTTTCCACCCCAAATTAGGGGCTTGCAGGGTGAGGAGGCAGCAGGTATCCTCAGTCTGACTGCTGCTCTCTCCTCATCTCAAAGGGCAGTGAGGACAGGCTCAGATGAGGAGCAGAAGATGGATGTACCCATTTTACCCTTCTGTGGCCCCAGGTGGGCTGTGTTCAGTGTGACCTGTTTTCCCTGTGGTGAAACGATGAAATCCTGGGTCAGTGATGCATTTTGGATCACTTTGCTCTGGTGCTGTTGTTTTCCACAGGGCTTTGCCATTGCTGGTCCTGTCTCAGGCAGGATGGGTTTGGGCTGCAAAATCTGTGTACGGGGCCAGAGCCAAGCTCGGGTAACCCCAAACTCAGTACTTGTAGTGGCCAGAAATACAACAGAACAAGCAGCAGGTTTGGGAGGTGTTGCTCTGGAGCAGAGAGCATCATTCCCTACTGTGGGTCACCCTCCTGTCATGGTGCTGGCGATGAGCCTGGGGCAGCATTTGGCCCAACAGGAGCAAAAGCTTCTGTGAGATGCTCAGGGCATGTCAGCTGCTGTCCCCTCACATCCTGTGGCAAAGGGAAAGGTTTCTCTCTCCCTCCCTGTTCTGCCAGGGGCTCCTCGTGAAGAAATGGGTCTTTCCTGCTGCTCTGGATTTGCAGCCACACTCAGTGCATGCGCTAAGGGCCAGCACCAGGTGACAACAGGTCCCCGAGCCCATGATGAGGAGTGGGAAGAGGCAGGGTCTCGGGTGAGGATTTTGGAGACTGTGGCTGAGGCCGGGGCTGACTGCAGCCCCCCGAGCCATCAGCTCTGCCTGTCCCCTGCTGCCACCTGCGTGCCAGGACACGAGAGCTCTTGGATGGATGATTTTAGATTTGCATCAGACTCCTGTCGCTGAGGCTTGGGATAAGCCTCCCAACCAGCGGGGACGTGCCGGGATCCAGCCCCACACCCCTCCCCCCTCCCTCGTATATTAAGTTTCACACATAAAACTGCAACCGAAGAGCATCTTAGAGGGAACTGCTAAAAATAGCCCCGAGGCTGGAGCCTGAATTGTGCAGGAGAGTTCGTGTGCAGCCTGATCCCTTCCCTCTCCCGGAAACATTCCACAGCTCAGGACTGCTTTATGGCGATGCAGGGAAGGGGAGCGGCATCTAGGGCTGGTAATAACCCCAGGGACACATAAATATTCCCCTAACTGCGAGCATCAGGCAGCTCTGCAGGGAAACAGCTGGGGCAGGGTTTGGGGTGTGCTTCGAGGGGCAGAGAGGTGCAGGGAGCCCACCAGCAGCGTGTGCCGGGGGCCTGGACCACACTCTCGGTGTGACCAGCACCTTCCCCTCTGCCCAGCAGAGCTTTGTACAGGGTGACCCAAAATGCAGAATCTGCAACAGAAATGTCCCTCCCTGGCACCATCCTGGGCTGAGAGTCCCCCCCGGTGCCAGCGGGCACAGAGAAACCCCCAGGGGCTGGCACAGCGAGGAGGTGAAGTGATGTGCCCAAGAGCACAGCGAGCAGCGGTGTCAGGAGGGAAACGCTCCCTCCTGGGAGGGCTCCTACCCTCCGAAGAAGAAGCCTGGCCTTGGGGGCTCATACAGGGTGGGCATGAGAGCGCAGATGCCTCTGGGCGCCGGGAAGGGAAGGGGTGACGGCGCTGCACCCGGCACACTGCAGGGGGGATATGGGAGGGTCTTCTCCCATCGGCACTTCCCCAGAGCCCCGGGAGAAATCGGTGTCTCTCCTGGGCTCCTGCGGCTCGCTCTGGGCATTTCTTGCCTCCTTTCCCGGGCGCTGCCCCCTTCCCTACCTGGCCACTGCCTGTATCCCTCCCCGGGCATCCCCTGCATCTCTGCCTGGGCTGAGCGTCGTTCCCTCCGCGGGCTCTGCCTGCATCACTCCCGGGCATCCCTGCCTGCATCCCTGCCTGAGCTCTGCCTCCCTCCCTCCCTCCCTCCCTCCCTCCATCGCTCCCCAGGCGCTGCCCGCCTCCCGCGCGGGCATCCCCGCCATCCCACCGGGCGCTGCCTCCATCCCTGCCCGTGCAGCGCCTGCCCCCGCGCCGTGCCCCGGACGGGCTCCCCGCTCCCCGCCGCCGCCCCCCGGTCTCTCCGCGCCGGGCGGGGGCCGGGCCGGGCCGGAGCTCTGCAGCGGGGCCGCCCGCCCCGCACCGGGCTCGCCGCATGGCTCCTCCACCCGCCGGGGCGCCGCCGGCCCGGGCCACCGCTGCAAGGTACGGGGGGTCTGCCGGGAACGAGGGGACGGGGGGTGGCAAAGTTACCTCTGGGCAGAGCCGGGGGGGTCGCCGGGATGGGGGGATCGGGGGGTCCCCAGCGAAAGTTGAGCGCCGGCGCTCCCCGCTCCCCTCCGCCCCGCCGGCACGGGGGGCGCGGGTGTCCCTCCCCGGTGTTCCCCCCCACCCGGTACCCCCAGCCCCAGCACGCCACCGCGGGCTGGGGGTGCTGCGCTGCCCGCCGCGGCCAGAGCATCCCCGGGAGGGTCGGGGCGGGATGCGGGATGTGCGGGATGTGCGGGATGTGCGGGATGTGCGGGATGTGCGGGATGTGGGATGCTGGATGCAGGGTGCGGGATGCTGCCGCCGCACCCTCCCCGCGGGGCTCAGGGCTTGCTCCTCCGAGTGCCCCCGGCGTCGCGGGGTGCCCAAGGTCGCACCGGGGGCCAGAGCCCCCATGCCGGGAGCCCCCTGTGAGCCCCCGCCCGGCCCTGCAGCCCACTGAGCCCGGCCTGGTGCTGAGCACTCGGAGCCCCCCGGCTGGTCCTGCTCCACCAGCCCACCCTGGGCTCCCCCGACGGGTCCCCCCACTGAGCCTCAGACTCCCACAGTGTCTGCTCGTGGGGCTGGGGGCCTTCAGGTCGGCCTCAGATGTTCTGGGGTGCAAGCTCGTTTGCTGGAGCCCGTGAGTGGTCCCCGTGTGCCAGCACAGAGGGGAACAGGGTTTTTGGGGTGGTACAGTAAGGCTCAGCCTGTGCCCCAGTTCCAGGGAGCCCTGCAGGCACTGGGTTTCCAGTTGTGTTGCTCCATCATCCTCCAGCCCCACAGGGGAGCTGGGGAAGCTGCTGTGAGGAGGAAGGGTTTGTGGGGACAGGGTTGTCCCTGCAGCAGAGAGGCCCCCCGGGACCTGCAATGACAGTGCTGTCTGCTGGTGGAGAAGGGCCCCAGCAGGGTCGGGTGTGGGGGCTTCTGCACCCCCCCATTTCCCTTCATTTGGCACAGAAACACTCCTGCTACCAGGGCTGGGGGCAGCCAGCACCCCAGGGGACAGTCCCAGCAGCAGAGGGTGACAGGGTCCCCAGTCCTGCTGCTGGGGGGGTGAGGATGGTGTGAGCCATGGCCCAGCTTAGGGGACCCCAGGAAGCACATCCGATCCAGCACCCAGCAGTGGGAATCTCCGTGCCCAGGCTCTCCCTGGGGCAAATAATCCCCACAGAACAGGCACAACAGGGTGATTGAACCTGACACTTTCTGCTGCTCCCCTGTGCTTTGGGCATGGTATTAAGGGAAAATGGACCAGAGCATCACAAATTGGTCAAAACATCCCCACTTTGGGATGAAGCACAAGCTGCTTCCTAGTGATGACAGCAAGCAAAAGTGGGACTCATCCCCTCATCCTTGCCGTTCACAGCTCCTGGTCGGGAGCCCACTGCCAGAAGGTGTTTGGACTCCTCAGACTCCGACTCAGTTCCCAAATTCCCATGTGTGGGTTATCACCCCGTGTCCCCCCACACGTGTGACCCTGCCAGCAGCTCGTGGGCTCACCCCATCAGCTGGCTGGGAAATTAGTCTCCATCAAGTTAATTGCCCAACCGCTCAAAGCCTGAAATTAAACGTTAAAGCGTCGCTCGCAGGCGCAGAGCAACCTCCCCCTGCCCCAGCAAAAGGCAATTCCAGCTGTCCAAGCGGAGGGAAGATGGATTCCCTGTCTTGGGGCAGCACTGGGAAGGAGCAGCTGGTGTCGGTCCCCACGGTGCTATGGAACAAGTCCCCAGCACAGCCTGGAACCTGCTGCAGATGGGCTGAGCAAACCCTGAGCCACAGACAGACCCATTCCTGGGAGGTCTCCTTGCTCTGGTGCTGAAAGGGAGGGATGTGCCTGTAAGAACCTTCATGGAATGAAGCTTTCCTTAGCTATGTGGGGTGGGAGGCTCCAAAGGGGACTCTGATGTCCCGCAGTGCTGGGGTCATTGTCCAACCCTGGGGCTCCGTAGTACAACCCTTTCCCCCCGGCTCCTGCTTGAAAAAATATCCCCCGAAGTAACAACAGTGTGACACCAAGGTGTCTCTAGGATCTGACCAGCTTCTCCTTGGCCTTGCAGTGACGTGCTGTCCCGGAGGGGAAATGCATCCTGAATGGGGCTGAGGCCCCCTGCTCGGGAATATGCAGCCTCGGCACCGCGGAGGCAGCACCAGGGCAGCGGCCGGCGCGCGGCGGAATGGTGGCAACGTTCAAGATCGCCGTGCTGGGAGCCCAGGGCGTGGGCAAGAGTGCCATAGTCCGGCAGTTCCTCTACAACGAGTTCAGCGAGGTCTGTGTGCCCACCACGGCCCGCCGGGTCTACCTGCCCGCCGTCGTCATGAACGGCCACGTCCACGACCTGCAGATCATGGACTTTCCCCCCATCACCGCCTTCCCTGTCAACACCCTGCAGGTAGGGGTGCTCCCGGGGGGACTTCCACCCTGGGGGGGTCTCTGGTGACCTCCCTGGGGTTTCTCTGTGTGACTCCACGGAGTCCTGGTTCCTCCTCTTTGGGGGGTGCTTCTCCCTCCGTGTCAGGGTTTGGCTGCTAAAAACCAGTGTGAGGGATTGTGTCCTTGTGGATACCGGCTGAGCAGGCCCAGGATAAAGTGCCTTTTAAAGCTTGGTGGCAGCAAATGCAAGAGACGGGGTCCCACTCCAAGGAACGTGGCTCTGGGATTGCCCACAGCCGCAGCCAGCTGAGTGGTGGATCCTGGAGCATTGGGATCCAGTTCCATGGCTGTCAGAGGAAATGCCAGAGCATTCAGGTGGAAATCAGGGGTTCCGGGAGAGCCGGACCCCTGATGTATCCACTGCCCAAGCCAGGCAGAGCAGGGCTGCTTGTCCCCTTCTGGGAGTGACCATCACCCCCCTGCATTGCCTGGGCTCATTCTTGGAGCGCTGGATCCACCAGCTCCTCAACCACCCCACGCTTCCAGGTGCTTCCAAAGCATCCCCAAAATGCAGTGTAGGGCTGGAAAGTGCTGACCATTTCGGGGGGGTTAATAGGGGAAAAAGGGGATTTTAAGCTCATGCCATAGCCCCATCCCAGAGGCACAAGTTGTGTCACTGCTGTTGGAAAAGGAGCTGGAGGTGCCCAACCGCGACTGCAGCCACGCTGGAGGGCAGTGCCATCAGTGGGGCCACCTCAGTTAATTACAGTGTTCCTGTGCCCGACAGGGACAGGGTTACAGGGGCCATGTATTGCTCCAGGAGTCCCTGTGCCATCGGGCAGGAGGTGAAGCGAGTGCTCCAGGGGCGAGGAGCAGGTTTAAAAATTAACCGGTGAGCGCAGGGAACGAAAGGTCAGCGCGAGAGACAGCCCGAAATAGCAAAGGGTAATTTATTGACACGGCAGCCGATGGCAACACACTCGATTAACTCCCTGCCTTGCTGCACTCAAGTGGAGGCGGCCGGTGGGAACAGATGGAGGTTTCCAGGGAGGAGAGGGTGCTCAGGCGGATGGCTCTGAGGGGAAAGAAGAGGACCGTGGTGGAGGATACGGCTCTGCCTGCTGGGAAACATCTCCGGACTCTGCTCCACGCCCAGGAAAAGCATCCCTGCAGTGATGTCCTGGGAGAGCAGCAGGAGCCAGTGGCTCTCCGACATCCTGCTGCAGCAGTGCAACCCTTCTACAGCTCGAACATCCCGGGAAACCTGCAGTGCATGAGGAAAACCATCCTGACATCGCAGCGCCGGAGCAAGCTGCAGCCCGGTGTGGTGAAATAGCTGCGATTTGTTAATCTCTCCGGTGTATCGGGACTCAGTGTAACCCGAGAAGCTGCTGCTCCACCCGCCTGTGTCCCTGAGGAGACAGAGGATCGCCCCAGCACCTCCTCCCCTCCGTGGACAGAGAGGGGCTGGGTCACTCTGCTCGCCCTGAGCTCCTTCCCGTGCTGCCCTCTGCGGTGGAGACAAACCCGCATCCCAAACCCTCTTTTTCCCCAGTTCTCTTCAGTCCTAGGTCTTCTCATTTTGCTTCATTCCAATGATAAACTCAGAAGGGGCTGATTCACGGTTCTGAAGGGGTTTGCTCAGGGAGAAGTGATGCCTTTCCTCCTTGGAGCATCTTTCTCCTTTCCAGAGGCGCTCAGGAGGGTTTGCAGTACTGCTTTCACAGGCTGCCGTTCCTGGTCCCAGTGCTGGGATGGGAAAGTGGCTGGAAGTGGGGAAGATTTTCACTTATAGCATGGGAAAAAATCCTGTTGTTCCCAGAAACCCCGAACTTTCACAACAGCATGTATTTCTTACAACTCCAAATTCTGAATGTGGAGAGGCCACCCTGGCCTACCTCTGCTCTGGCTCCTGATCTTGCTCTCACAGACCTGGTTCCTGAGCAGCCACTGCTCCTCTCCTGTCCCCATGTCCCCTCCAAACAGACCTGCCATCACCCTCCCCCTCTGGCCCACAGAGCTGCTGGTCCATCACCCTCAGACCCGTGGGGATGGGGCTCAGCAGTCTCCTCACCTGCCCTGCCCAAAGAGTAGGGTGCATCGCTAATTAACACACCTAATTAGCAGCTCTGCAGGATGAAGCTTTTACATCCAGGGCAGGGGGCTGCATTTGACCACGCTCCCAGCTCACCACTGTGTGTTAGGCAGGTTGTAATCTTCTCTCAGGAGAGAAAGTGGGGCTGACAAATCCTGTTACCTCTCCTCTGGATGAACAAGGAGGGATAAAGGATCTCTGGAGATGGAGGGGGGGATGGCTGAAGGGCTGTGGGTGCAGACACAGCTGTGGCAGGGTTGGTCACAGAGCAGAGGTGAGATGGGTGCTGGGTGCCGGGGCTGGAGAGTGTTCGGCCCCCCTGCTGCCTGCTGGCTTAGCAGCCTCCTTATGTGCCCATCCCCAGAGCAATGTGGGGCATCCCCTGGGCCCAGCAGGGGGGCTAAGCCAGGATTGATCCCTCTCTGCACCTTGCAGGAGTGGGCGGACGTGTGTTGCAGGGGGCTCCGGAGCGTCCATGCCTACATCCTGGTCTATGACATCTGTTGCTTTGACAGCTTCGAGTACATCAAAACCATCCGCCAGCAGATCCTGGAAACAAGGTAGGGGCCACTTTGCTGGATGATGCATCCTGTCCTGCAGCTCTCAGCAGAGTGGTGTGGCTGGTCCCAGTGCTCCCCTGCTCTTGGCATCGGAGATGAGATATTGGACTGGGACAAAACCCCTTTGCAGGGCTGGAAGCCCAGCAGCAAAATCAAAACTGGGACTGGGGGCAGGAGAAGGAGCAGGACCCTGGGCATGTACCCCCTGTGGGTGAGGGAAGCCATCCCGGGGAGAGAAGCCAGGGGTGGCACGGTGGATGGCTGTCCATGGAGAGGGACAAGAGGATAGGACAAGGGGAGGCACATCCCACTCAGAGAGCCAAAACCAAGAGCCAGCTTGGGATGGGCTGAGCTCTGTGGGCCAGTCAGTCACCCCGGTGTGTCCCCGTCCCCTTCTGTCCCCGCTCACCACCCGCCCTCCCCAGGGTCATCGGCACCTCGGAGACACCCATCATCATCGTGGGCAACAAGCGGGACCTGCAGCGGGGCCGGGTGATCCCGCGCTGGAACGTCTCCAACCTGGTGAAGAAGACGTGGAAATGCGGCTACATCGAGTGCTCGGCCAAGTACAACTGGCACATCCTGCTGCTCTTCAGCGAGCTCCTCAAGAGCGTGGGCTGCGCCCGCTGCAAGCACGTCCACACCACCATCCGCTTCCAGGGCGCCCTGCGCAGGAACCGGTGCACCATCATGTGAGCCCCCCCTGCCCCGATGGACCCCCCCTTCCTCGGGGGCCGAGGCTCCCCCGCGAACACCGGAGTCTCTGCTCTCCGTGGGGGTGATGCTGCGGTGGGAGCTGTGCTGGAGGCGCCTCGGGGTTGGCTTCCCACTGGCGCTGGCACCCTGCGGTGACATTTGGGGACAGCGTGCCTTGGGCAGGGTGATGCGGTGGCCAGTGGCAGGTTGGAGCAGGTGGCTGCCCGGAGGTAGTGATGGGTGAGGGAGGTCCTTGGTTAAACCCCCAGGCCCTCCCTGAGCCTCAGCTTGAGGCCAAAGCTGTCCCGGGGGGTGGGGTGGGGTTGTACGTGGCACTGGAGGATGGAGGAGATCCCTCAGAGGGTGCCCAGATTTTGGCTGTCAGGTCCATCCTTGCCAGTTCCTGCTCTGGCAGCACAGGGGCAATGCTTGCTGCTCCCTACCATCACCTGCCCCTGGAAGGGGATGATCCAGCACCTCTATCCTGATGTGCTTGAAGTGGTTCCATCACTGGGGCACAGGGAGACAGGAGCCCTGTTTTCCTCCCTGCAGAGCTGGGGTTTCTCCCCTTGGAGGGCAGAACAGTCTCCAGCAAGATGCCAGGTTACACGGGATCTCTTTTGGCTCAGTTGGATCAGACTTCCAGGTGGAATTTCCAGGTGAAAGCAAGAAAGGAGGGGGGGGGGGGGGGGGGGGGAATAATAATAAAATCCCCATCCCTCCCCTTACATCCCCAGGGTGCTGGGAGCTGCCTCCCCAGGGCTCTCAGTCCCCCTCTGCCCCAGCCCAGCCCAGCAAGCCTCCTCCCCGCCAGCCTGTCGAACACCAAATAATCTCGGAATGCTCCTTGCCGGGCAAGTCACCCCTCCGCTACCTCGTGCCCCGGGTTCAGCCAGCGACCGGTTTTGCAAGGCTTCCACCCGAGCCCCCGGTGTCTCCCGAGCGGGTGGGCAGCACCCTGTGCCCCCTCGGTGCCGCGAGCTCCCACCCGCGCCTGGTTTTCCCATGGTGATCCCGCCTCCATCCCGGTGAGACGCGGCCCTGGGAAGGCAGCCTCCGAAGCGATAGGGAGCTGGACTTGAGTTTGTGGTTGCATTCCTGCTTGTTTCTTTTTGTTTCGGTTTTGTTTTGTTTTTCTCTCTGCATATCCCTAGCAGGAAAGTGAGCCTCTCATTTAATTTTTTTTATTATTATTATTATTATTATTATTTCAATCTTTCAGCATGTTTTTCCCCCAGACTTGCAGCTCGCCTGAGTCCTGTCCTGCAAGGGCCAGGTGGCAAAGGGCAGCCCCTGTTAGGAAACGGTGGTGGGGCAGTGAGGGGTGAGCAAGGGGCCGTGGTTTCTCCTTGGCTGCCCCCTGTGAGGCACAGGGAAATACCATCCTCACCTCCTGAGCAGGATCTGTGGCTGGTCCATCCTCCAGCAAAACCATCCCTGTGATTCCTGGTGTAACAGGGAGGTGCAGGTATTCGAGGTATTCAGTGCTGCTCCGGGCAGGAAAGCAGAAGGACACCAGTCCTTCTTCTTCCCACAGCCAGGTGTCCATCTCCCAGCAGCATCACCGTGCTCTTGGAAACACTTCCTATGAAAGGCAGGTCTAGCTGAGCTCCAACACGGTGCATCCCCCCACCCCACCCCTGTGCCAAGGCCAGGGGGGCTGGGTCACTCTGCTCCCTCCCTGCTGGGGGAACCAAACCCCTTGATCCAAAAAAAAAAAAAAAAAAAAAAAGAAAAAGAAAAAAAAGGAAAAAAAAGAGACAAGGCAATGGGAGGACACAATTCCATCTCAGCCAGGAAGGGCAGTGGCACTTGTCACCATCCCTGGCCTTCATGGCAAACCCAGCTCCCTTATCCGACCTCATCCCACCAGGATTTATGAACACATGTAAGTCCACTTTATCGACCTCTGGCTAGCTTTATCCCTCCAAATTGTCTGAGAAGGAAATTCCTTAGTAAATGCTAATAATAAAGCATTTATAAAGTGCTCCAACATACATATATCAGTGACTAAGCCAATACATTGTTTGTTATAACCCTGTAGCCTGCAGTTTATAGCACAATTAGTTACAGGTTTTTATAGCATCTCTTTAGTATTTTGAAAAAAAAAAAAGGTTATAAATATAATTGTTATATTCTATTGTACTTTATAGACAGAGGAAGTTATATTAGTAATAATAACTCTCACTGCTTCGTCAGCATTTCCCAGCTCCCAGAAAAACGAGGGCTACAAAGAGCCGCTTTCCCAAAAGCCCAGGAGGGGGTAGGTGATGAAGATATCCTGGGTGGTGGTACCCTGGGTGCAGGCAGGGACTCTGAGGCAGGACGTGTCCAGGCGCGCGGGAATCAGAGTCTCCAGGAGCGCAGCAGCAGCTACAAGCACCTCGTGCCTCACCCCTACTCACACCCACAGTACAAAGTGTTCCCACTTCCCCAACACCACCCGGGTCCTGCTGAGAACAACCTGCTCCTGGGCCTGGGGGAGGCTGGGGTGTCCCCACCGCTGTCCCCAGGACAGTGCCGTGTTTCTGCCCCTGTGCACGTGGAGGCGATGGCCGAGTTTGGCTCAGCCCCACCAAGGATGCTTCCCTCTCCTCCTCCTCCTCTTCCCCCGGTGAGAATCCCAGTTGCCTGGACTTGGCTTTCCTTTCCCTCCTGGACTTCTTGTCGGAGATTCCCAAGGTGTCTACACCGCCTGTAATGCCCTGCACCCCCTTCTTTGAAATTGAATTAAAAATCAGGTCTGTCCCCCTTGTTCTGCACCCGCCTCAGGAGTGTTTTTGCGAGCAGGTTTTGCATCCCCGGAGCCCCAGGGCTCACCTTTGCTGCCTCTGCAGGGGTGTGGGGTTGGCTTTGTCCCCTCGTGGAAGATGGGAATCCCTGGCCCCCCGGGGGGCTCCTGGAGGGACATTTGTTGTGCCCACAGGGAGCAGACTGTCAGCTGTGGCCCCTCATCAGCATTATCCTCTCTCCCTCCTCACCCACACCAAAAAAAAAAAAGGGTGGAAACAGAAGAGCTTTGGTCCGTCTCTATTGCACAAACAGCATTGCTGGGGCCGTGGTGCAGGCTCAGGGTGTGGCCCCATGACCCTCAGGGGCAGCCACCACGCCCGAGGTGACCACAACCCCTCTGGTTCTCCCACCTTCGCCCACAAGGCAGGTCGTGGGGGTCAGCAAGGGGCCCTTCCAGTGCCCCCCCAACCTGAGCGACTCACTCATTAAGGCTCTTGGAGCTGTGAGACATAAGGCTCGTTAGTCCCAGGGTACAGTCGGAGAAGTCTGAGGTTCGAGATGTTTGGTACCTTTGGATGCCCCTGGTGTCCCTGCTTTAGTGGGGGCTGCACCCTTCTTCCCTGCAGAAAGCACCCCATCCTCTCAATCCGGGGCTGGATTTTTCCACCCAAACCAGCAAAAAAGCGCCTGTTTATCCCAAAGAATTACCGGTACAAAAAAA